AATCTACCACATGCCACACCAATGCCAATCGCCAATCGGACACAAAAGAACACGCTGTTCTCCCCTACAGCCGGAGCAAAACGCCTCGCAACATACCGTTCTCGCCTACAGCTGGAACACAAAAGCCTCGTAACACACCGTTCTCGCCAGAACCGGAACACAACGCCTCGTAACATACCCTTCTCTCCTACAACCGGAACACAACGCCTCGTTACATACCCTTCTTGCTTACACCTTGGACACAACGCCTCGTAACATACCGTTCTCGCCTACAGCCGGAACACAACGCCCCGTAACATACCGTTCTTGCCTACAACCGGAACACAAAGCCTCGTAACACACCGTTCTCGCCTACAGCCGGAACACATCGCCCCGTAACATACCGTTCTCGCCTACAGCCGGAACACAATGCCTCGTAACATACCGTTCTCGCCAACAACCGGAACACAACGCCTCGTAACATACCGTTCTTGCCTACAACCGGAACACAACGCCCCGTAACACACCGTTCTCGCCTACAGCCGGAACACATCGCCCCGTAACATACCGTTCTCGCCTACAGCCGGAACACAATGCCTCGTAACATACCGTTCTCGCCTTCAACCGGAACACATCGCCTCGTAACATACCCTTCTCGCCAGAACCGGAACACAACGCCTCGTAACATACCCTTCTCGCCTACAACCGGAACACATCGCCCCGTAACATACCCTTCTCACCTACAACCGGAACACAACGCCTCGTAACACACAGTTCTCGCTTACAGCCGGAACACAACGCCTCGTAACACACAGTTCTCGCCTCGTTCTCGCCTCCTTGGCTCCTGGTGCAGAATTGTCGTTTCCCTATCATCGTATACATGTATGTACTTTATGGATTGTATACAATCAGTGCTCTGCTATTTACGATCAAAGTAAAATGTACACATGTTAACTAAAACCACACAGTGACTATAGTTAAATGCCAATGTGGCGGTCTCTATATAATTATGTTACATCAAAACACACTGTCACTAAGCATACAAACATCAAGCATTGTACTTACCCGTCGTATCCAGCATCTATAATCAAATGATTTGTCTTGATCGGCGTAATCTTTCTGTGTATATTCGTTCGTATCAAATGTGATTATAACTCGTCAGTGTATATCGTCCTAGAGATCTACACTGCAATGATTTCACCAGGGGTTCCAGACACCCATGATGCACTGGGGAAACTGTCAACACTGACGCAGTTGTTAAGTTATAACAAATTCCACCAGCCAAACGCCGGCGGCCTATTTTTATTTAGCTTGTTTTCTATTTATCTATTCCAGCGCCTAGGGGGATTTCAAGTAGTATTGCGTTGAAGCCTGCATGTCCCGCTTCAGAAGTGAATTTTATGCAGGTATTCAGTGGGGGAAGGCTTACCTGGTGTCCCCGATATGTCCTGCATTGTCCACGTATTGCCGTGTACGAATATTAATGTGGATATTATAAGTTCACTGTAATGCCCCAGCCCAACTATGGTATTATATACAGAAAATTAAATTTGTTCAATGTCTAAAACAGTATGTGGTTGCATCTATCGGATAGCAGTCAAACATGCTACATGTATCTCCGCTGAACAATCAGTATTCAATCAAATATCCTGTTCACTGGAAATACTTTAATGTGGTAGGTTTAAATTCAGCATATTAATACATTTCTGTAGTCAGGAAAGATTGTTTGTACATTAAAAGAATAACGATTGATATTGACCGAGAATGACCTAGTCATCTGTACAATTTGACATACAGCGCAAACTACGTATAGAGACATTGAATAACGCCACATTCCTAGTTTGAATAAGTACTTCATCTGTACAAAATACTCTCCATATAGATATGGAACAACCTGTCCAAACTTGAAATATTACAGCCTTTATTATTTTGATAACTAATTACAGACTGGAAATACATGTCACACGCAGGTACCCACCCTCACACACCCTCACACACACATACACACTTTCACACCAACACACCCACCCTAACACCCACACCAACATCCACCTTCACACCCACAGTCACACAGACCCACCATCATACCCACACACACCCACACACACCCTCACACCAACAAACACACGCTCACCTTCACACCTACACACCCACCCTAACACCCACAACCACCTTCACACCAACACTTACACACCCACCCTCATACCCACACACCCACACCCACAATCATACGCCCCACCCCAACCCCCACCCCACCCCCACCCCAACCCCAACACACACAGGCACACCTTTACACCTACACAGCCATCCTAACACCCACATCCACACTCACACACCCATCCAAACAAACACACACACACCCACACCTTCACATCTAAACACCCACCCTAACAAACACACCCAGACACACACACTCACTCACACGACCACTTTCACACCCATACCTACACAACCACCCTCATACCCACACCCACCCACCTTCACACCAAAAAACACACACACCTTCACACACACCATAACACCCACAAACATACTCACACCAACACACACTCAGAAACACCCTCACAGACCACACTTACCTACACCCACACCCACACACCCTCACACCCATACCATCACACCCACACATTCACACACACACCCTCACACCCACAACCACAGATTCACACACCCACACATTCACACACACACCATCACACCTACAACCACAGATTCACACACCCAAACATTCACACACACACACCATCACACACACACATTCACACATCCTCACACCCACACCCACACCCACACCCACACATTCACACACACACCCTCACACACACACATTCACACACACACACACATTCACACACACACCCTCACACCCACACATTCACACACACACACACCCTCACACACACACATTTACACACACACACACATTCACACACACACCATCACACCTACACCTACATCCACACCCACAGCCACACATCCACATACCCTCACACACGCATTCACATACCCTCACATCCGCACCTACACATTCACCCACACCCACACATTCACACACCCTCACACCCACGCATTCACACCCACACACCCTCACACCCACACCCACACATTCACACACACATCCACTCATTCACACACACACCCTCACACTCACACCCACACATTCACACACACATCCACACATTCACACTCTCACACTCACACCCACACACACACACACACATACACACGCACGCACGCACGCACGCACGCACGCACGCACGCACGCGAGCACATCCTCCTACAACTTTCTAATAAACTTGAATACACCCCTATAAAACGTTGACTGAACAAACATCTATATGTATCATTAGAAGCATAACCCCTTGTGGTTTTGCTGCTACCACATGCTGACTGTTTAACATGTCAGGTAAAGTCAGTCGAAGCTACACGATTTGAACTCTGAATAAATTACAAGTATTGAAGAAAGCACGTTTGGATTCTGTGATTGCTGTGCGTTTTTTACTTTGAATAAAGCTTGACTGAAGGGCTGCTTGGTGATGTGTAACAACGAATGTTTATAGGTGCCGTGGCAGAAAAAGCGTTTTGAAAATTAGTGTATGAAACATTCATAAAATATCCATGTGGTAAATTTCGGTTACAACATAGTCAAAGGGACCGCTAATTTTAGTTCATTATAACCCTAGATCGTTATAAGCATGTAGAAACAGCAAATGACCGGGATAAAAAAATATGTTCGTTATATCCGTCAATTCGTTATAAACGTGTTCGTTATAAACGTAGTTGACTGTAGATAAAAAATCCCTTTCGAATCATCATATTCGACATTTAACAAAATGTAAGTGCTTTGAAATATCTCTACTGTTTCATTACAATGGTGGGGTCACTTTGACCTTCATAGGTAGAGTTTATTTATCATGCATTTTCACTATGGTCACTGAACTTAGGCGTCAAAAACGTGTAACAACGACAATGTGAGTACATAGGAGTGTTTTCAATGGACTTGATACATTTGCAATAGGAAGGGGTCTCAGTTGAACTGGTTTGTGCATATGTGGCATTAAGAATATTGGCTGCCGTCACTAATCACACACAAAAGAAATCCCAACCCATCCGCCTCACATTTGATTGAAAAGCACACAAGTCGAATACAACGCTCTGAAGACGAATGGTGTGATAACGGTTTGGGTAGTAGTTCAGATGTATACCGGCGTGTCTGTTTAATGTGGGCGAAGACACAAAGAAAACAGGCTGTAAGCATGTTCTTGAGGGTTCAGTGCTCACAAACCAAGGGGCATAACCAGAACGTGCCTTGCGGGTCCTGACATAATACATCACCTTCTAAAGAGCACTGACAGGCACTTAATAGTGCAGGCTTCACATATCATGGTTTGTAGGCCAACAGTTCAAAACTACATTGTCATCAAAGATTTACTGACTGGTTTAAGGTGTATATGTACACCTTTAGGTATTTATGCGTATTTACTGACATACTTTAAGGCAATAATACCTTTTTACTGCACCAGCTTTACGTATTGCTGTACGTTACTGATAATCATATAGTCATTGTTACGTATCAGTGCGGAGTAAACGGACTCCTTATTAAATCCTAGTTGTGTCGCGAAATGATCCAAAGTCACCTTTCTTCCGTCACATACCACGTGTGTCTCATGTCATTTGCGCTACTAATGAAAATAGCAACTCTGCCATGTTACTCGATGGATAAATACCTAATGTGACCAAAAAGGCTAGTTTGTTTAAAAAATCAGTTCGCTAAAAATCTAAACGAAGCACACGTATAATAACTATTTCACGCCGTCAACGGTATTGTTGACGGAACGCGTAAGGACGTTTCAATGGTACAATTGGCGCCTCAAATTATAACTCGTGGCAGAAGTCACTGAGGTTCTCTTTACTATCCAGGCCAATGTACGCTGTAAATTGTCCAAGTTCAGACACTTGATTACTTATCTTTTGAACATGTGTTTACATCTCTGAACATGTGGCATTGGCCCAGCAGGTGGGGTCAACCTGCTATTTATATCTTTATCAACAACACGCAGTTCGCTCTGTATATCTGACAGTAACTTAGATTGTTCTGCTGTACACGGTAAGTGGCTGAGGTTTGTACTCTGTCAGTGTTGTCTTTACTAGCACCACCCACCTACTGTGATCTAGCGGCAATGTTACTTGCTAGCAACCACACACTTGTCTTAATCTAGAGGTGTTATTACTTGCCAACAACAACCCACCTTTCTTAATCTAGTAGCGATATTACTTTCTAAAAACCACCTGGGGGCACGGGTGGCCCAGTCGTCTAAGACGCCGCGATTCGCTGTGCAGAGTTGCGACCCTTGGGCACGCAAGAAACCTATGATTGTGAGTTCGAATCCCGGTTCGCCCCGACTATGTTTCTAGGTTTGTCAGCACCATACCCGTGCTCGTGGGTTTCACCGAACTGGTAAACGTCTGAGACCTTCATTACTTCGGGCTTTCCTCCCACATTAAGCTGACATGCCGCGATATAACTGGAATACTGTTAAAAGCGGCGTTAAACCCAACTCACTCACTAAAAACCACCCACCTGTCATTTTCTAAAGCGTTGACAAACATCCGCCCGTTCTAGATCCCATTGCGTTTTATCGGACGGAACACAGCAGGGCCCCGAAATATCTGCCTCTTTTGGTAATGTGGTGTTCTATTCCCAAGATGTCCCGGATGTACATAGCGAAACAGTCCACACCAACTGCCTTTCGCGTCACTATAGTAACACCAAGACAGCTTCCCGGGAATAGGAACACAGACCATGGCGTTCGTTATTAAGTCACGAGGCGACTTACTTTACGACATCCTCGGTCAGCCAATGTTTTGTGTCTCCATTCTATGATGATAAATACTCATTCACAATTCACCCATTCACAACTGTAGCTTCGTGTTCAGCCCTACTTGAATGTCTCATGCTGCAATTATGGTGAGACGGTGACGTCACTTTCAGAACGAGGCTATTGTGGCGAATGGGTCCAGGATACTTATCAATATAGATTGCAGATTTACTAAAATGGAGTGAGTGCGTGAGTGAGTTTGGTTTCACGCCACTTTTAGTAGAATTCCAGCAATATCACGGCGGGGACACCAGAAATGGGCTTCACACATTGTACTCGGGAATCGAACCCAGGTCTTCGGCGTAATGAGCGAACGCTTTAACCACTAGGCTACCCGGCCGCCCCACTACAATGGGAAATTGAGGATGCGTTTATGGCGGCTTAATGGAAGTTGCATGTTGGGCTATGTTCCTTGATACTGAATCAGGAAGTATATATACAATACGATATAGGATCCCTGACTGAACACATCCGAAATACGCGTCAGTATTCCCGGAACTTGTCTTCTGTATGTCGACTCGCGATCTTGTAGGACGTCCCCGTTTCGAATTCTAAAGTCAGAAGGAAATATTAGGGTCGCAACTTGGACGTGGAACTCGGCGCTGATGAAGAACGGAGCTCTGTCAGAAGCTTGCATCGCCGCCTGAGCCGTCGTTGGTGTATACGGCCTCAAATCCAAGGGGAGGGTTGAATTAAGCGTTGACGCGTCATTTAACTCTTTCTGGAGTTTCGAGAGCCCTTTCTATTTTGGTTGCAAATGTATCAACTATTATTCATGGCAAAGGCTTATAACCAAATTTAGATGAGGAGAAAAATCTCTTGGTATTCAAGTTGTCCGCAGAGATGTTGCTAATATTGAGGATGATGCTGTCTCATGTAAACACTGTCATGTCATTGAGAACGTACGCCATGTTATATACAATTGTCGTCCTTATGTACGTCGGCGGGAAATGTTTATCTAAAAGACAGTTAACCATCATTATTATTGCTTAGAAAGACTGTCAGTTATCCAACAATGATAAAATGATAAATTTGGCTAAATTTCTAGTGTACGTTTTCAACAAAAGGAATTATTAATTAGGTAACTCGTAGAGAAAAAAAAATATATGATGTGAATGTATTTTGTACAATGAGTCAGTTGGCCTTCATACAAAAAAATATGTCTGTCTGTCTGTCTGTCTGCCTGTCTTTAAGGTTCATGTAGTTAATATACAGCGTCCTGCTCATTTTCAAGGAATTAAATTGGATAGTTAAAGTATATCGTACTTACCTACCTTTTTTATGAAAGACACATATCGTTCATTTGTATTTTGGAAGATATTGGGTAGCCTAGTTGTAAAAGCGTTCGTTCTTCAAACGGAAAACCCCGGGTTTACTAAAATGGAACATGGGTAAAAATGTGTGAAGTCTGTTCAAGATTTCCCCAGCCGTGTTTTGTCTACAATATTGCTGATACAGGTGTAAAACTCGTTCACTCTACATTATGCAGTAGCACGACGATGAGGTTCCTTCTACTGGTGGCGTTGGCGGCGTTGTTCCTGGTGGTGAGCGCCGACTTCCTGCAGCTACTGAAACACATCACGCACCAGGACTACTTTCACAAACTGCCCGCGGGGGACCAGGTGATCCTCGTGGAGCTGGTGGCGGAGGGCGAGATCGGTCGCCTGTCTGAGTACATCCACAAAGTTGGGCCGCAGAGGATCAGACAGATTGCTAATAGTAAGTACATTATGTTCCACGTCCATACCCTCGCGTACCGTACCGTGCCGTGCCATTGACATATGATATAAGTAAACTTTGGTTTATATAGGTTGATAAAGCTCCGTGTTTATTTATTGCAGGCTTACCACAACACGAAGAGCAGCTCCTTGTGCATTACATACAGCAGGTAATGTAGGTCTATCTCACCTGACTCACAGACACACTATACATACCAGGTAATGTAGGTCACCTGTCTCACAGACACACTATATATACAAGGTATATAGGTCTATCTCACCTGTCTCACAGACACACTATACATACCAGGTAATGTAGGTCTATCTCACCTGTCTCACAGACAGGCTATATATACCAGGTAGTGTAGGTCACCTGTCTCACATACACACTATACATAATAGGTAATGTAGGTCTATCTCACCTGTCTCACAGACACACTATACATACCAGGTAGTGTAGGTCACCTGTCTCACATACACACTATACATACCAGGTAATGTAGGTCTATCTCACCTGTCTCACAGACACACTATACATACCAGGTAATGTAGGTCTATCTTACCTGTCTCACAGACACGCTATATATACCAGGTAATGTAGGTCACCTGTCTCACAGACACGCTGTATATACCAGGTAATGTAGGTCACCTGTCTCACAGACACGCTATATATACCAGGTAATGTAGGTCACCTGTCTCACATTCACGCTGTATATACCAGGTAATGTAGGTCTATCTCACCTGTCTCACAGACACGCTATATGTACCAGGTAATGTAGGTTTATCTCACCTGTCTCACAGACACACTATACATACCAGGTAATGTAGGTCACCTGTCTCTCAGATACTATACACAACTGGTAATGTAGGTCACCTGTCTCTCAGATACTATACACGACTGGTAATGTAGGTCACCTGTCTCTCAGATACTATACACGACTGGTAATGTAAGTCACCTGTCTCTCAGATACTATACACGACTGGTAATGTAGGTCACCTGTCTCACAGACACGCTATACATACCAGGTAATGTAGGTCACCTGTCTCACAGACACACTTTACACACCAGGTAATGTAGGTCACCTGTCTCACAGACACACTATACATACCAGGTAATGTAGGTCACCTGTCTCTCAGACACACTATACATACCAGGTAATGTAGGTCACCTGTCTCTCAGATACTATACACGACTGGTAATGTAGGTCACCTGTCTCTCAGATACTATACACGACTGGTAATGTAGGTCACCTGTCTCTCAGATACTATACACAACTGGTAATGTAGGTCACCTGTCTCACAGACACACTATACATACCAGGTAATGTAGGTCACCTGTCTCACATACACACTATACATACCAGGTAATGTAGGTCACCTGTCTCACAGATACTATACACAGCTGGTAATGTAGGTCACCTGTCTCTCAGATACTATACACGACTGGCAATGTAGGTCACCTGTCTCACAGACACACTATACATACCAGGTAATGTAGGTCACCTGTCTCACATACACACTATACATACCAGGTAATGTAGGTCTATCTCACCTGTCTCACAGAAACACTATACATACCAGGTAATGTAGGTCACCTGTCTCTCAGACACACTATATACACCAGGTAATGTATGACACCTGTGTCACGGACAATATATACATCAGCTATTGTAGTTCACCTGTCTCACATACACTAAACACACCAGGTAGAGTAGGTCATACAAACTATATACACCAGGTAATGTAGGTAACCTGTCTCACATACACTAAACACACCAGGTAGAGAAGGCCACCTCTCTCACACATACCTATATACAGCCGGCAATGGTGGTCACCTGTCTCCCACACCTTATATACAGCAGGTAATGTAGGTCACCTGTCACACACACTGAATACAGCAGATAATGTAGGTCACTTGTCTCACACTCACACTATGTAAATCATGTAACATTTATACCGAGTAATGCATGTCACTTGTAATATAGCTGTGGAGGTAAACCATAGAATTATATTTGCAGTTTAGTGACAGCAATGTCTCCTCCTGTTTCAGCACGTGCACCATCCAAACACGACCGCATCAACATAACGTCAGCAACATGCCACCTCGGCTACATGCTGCAACTGCACGTGTGGTAATAAAGGCATCCTACGTCTCGCTGTGTGTGAGTTGTTCTTGACATCGGCAGACAACTGAAGCGGCCGTGCAATATCCCGGAAGCTGTCCTCGTCACTGTGTCCTTCTCTCAAAGCCCATGTGTGACCTTTCAGTAGACGTTGACGTTTCACCCCCTGTTGCGGAGGGGGTAGACATTGGCGCTTTATTAAACACTGTCCACAGCATAAGAGGTATGCTTTAATGATTCATTAAACACTGTCTACAGTATAAGGGGTAACCATTGACGCTTCATTAAACACGACCCGTGAAGATCCGGGGTAGAATAGGTCTTCAGCAAACCATGCTTGCCATAAAAGGCGACTATGCTTGTCATAAAAGGCGACTAACGGAGTCGGGTGGTCAGACTCGCTGACTTGGATCGATGTTCATGATATTAATCATTGGATTGTCTGGTCCAGACTCGATTATTTACAGACCGCCGTCATATAGCTGGAATATTGTTGAGTGCGGCGTTAAACAACAAACAAACAAACACACAAATTCATTAAAAACTGTCTACGGCATAAGGGGTAACCATTGACGCTTCATAAAACACTTTCTATAGCATAAGGGGTAACCATTGGAGCTTTATTAAACATTGTCTACAGCATAGGTGGTAAGCGTTGATGCTTCATTAAACACTGTCTTCAGGATAAGGGGTAACCATTGACGCTTCATAAAACGTTGTCTACAGCATATAGCGTAGCCATTGACGCTTCATGAAACACTGTCTACAGCAGAAGGGGTAACCACTGACGCTTCATAAAACACTGTCTACAGTATAAGGGGTAACCACTGACGCTTCATAAAACACTGTCTACAGTATAAGGGGTAAGTGTTGACGCTTCATAAAACAATGTCTACAGCATAAGGGGTAACCACTGACGCTTCATTATACACTGTCTACAGCATAAGGGGTAAATGTTGATGCTTCATGAAACACTGTCTACAGCATAAGGGGTAAGTGTTGATGCTTCATTAAACACTGTCTACAGCATAAGGGGTAAGTGTTGATCCTTCATAAAACACTGTCTACAGCATAAGGGATAGCCCTTGACGCTTCATAAAACACTGTCTACAGTATAAGGGGTAGCCATTGATGCTTCATTAAACACTGTCTGCAGCAGAAGGGGTAACCACTGACGCTTCATGAAACACTGTCTACAGCATAAAGGGTAAGTGTTGATGCTTCATTAAACACTGTCTACAGTATAAGGGGTAAGTGTTGACGCTTCATAAAACAATGTCTACAGCATAAGGGGTAACCACTGACGCTTCATTAAACACTGTCTACAGCAGAAGGGGTAAATGTTGATGCTTCATGAAACACTGTCTACAGCATAAGGGGTAAGTGTTGGTGCTTCATTAAACACTGTCTACAGCATAAGGGGTAAGTGTTGATGCTTCATTAAACACTGTCTACAGCATAAGGGGTAAATGTTGATCCTTCATAAAACACTGTCTACAGCATAAGGGGTAGGCCTTGACGCTTCATAAAACAATGTCTACAGTATAAGTGGTAGCCATTGATGCTTCATTAAACACTGTCTAAGAGTGTAAATGGCGGGGGCACCAGAAATGAGCTTCACTCATTGTACCCATGTGGGGAATCGAACTCGGGTCTTCGGCATGACGAGCGAACGCTTTAACCACTAGGCTACCCCACCGCCCCCTATGTTGATGCTTCATTAAACACTGTCTACATCATAGGGGTAATGAATTCTTCTTTATCGCCACACACAATGTTAGAGGTAGAATGGGTTGTACTATATCGTCAAACACAAGGTTAGAGGTAGAATGGGTTCTTCTATATCGCCACACACCATGTGAGAGGTAGAATGGGTTCTTCTATATCGCCAAACACCATGTTAGAGGTAGAATGGGTTCTTCTATATCGCCACACACCATGTTAGAGGTAGAATGGGTTGTACTATATCGTCACACAACATGTTAGAGGTAGAATGGGTTGTACTATATCGTCACACACCATGTTAGAGGTAGAATGGGTTGTACTATATCGTAACACACAAGGTTAGCGGTAGAATGGGTTCTTCTTTATCATCACATACCATGTTAGAGGTAGAATGGGTTCTTCTATATCGTCACACAACATGTTAGAGGTACAATGGGTTGTACTATATCGTCACACATGTACACAAGGTTAGAGGTAGAATGGGTTCTTCTATATCGCCACACATCATGTTAGAGGTAGAATGGGTCGTACTATATCGTCACACACAACGTTAGAGGTAGAATGGGTTGTACTATATCGTCACACACCATGTTAGAGGTAGAATGGGTTGTACTATATCGTAACACACAAGGTTAGCGGTAGAATGGGTTCTTCTTTATCATCACATACCATGTTACAGATAGAATGGGTTCTTCTATATCGTCACACAACATGTTAGAGGTACAATGGGTTGTACTATATCGTCACACATGTACACAAGGTTAGAGGTAGAATGGGTTCTTCTATATCGCCACACATCATGTTAGAGGTAGAATGGGTTGTACTATATCGCCACACACCATGTTAGAGGTAGAATTGGTTCTTCTATATCGCCACACAACATGTTAGAGGTAGAATGGGTTCTTCTATATCGCCACACACCATGCAAGAGGTAGAATGGGTTCTTCTATATCGCCACACACAATGTTAGAGGTAGAATGGGTTCTTCTATATCGCCACACACCAAGTTAGAGGTAGAATGGGTTGTACTATATCGTCACACAACATGTTAGAGGTAGAATGGGTTGTACTATACCGTCACACACCATGTTAGAGGTAGAATGGGTTGTACTATATCGTCACACACAAGGTTAGCGGTAGAATGGGTTCTTCTATATCGTCACACGACATGCTAGAGGTAGAGTGGGTTCTACTATATCGTCACACACAAGGTTAGAGGTAGAATGGGTGGTACTATATCGTCACACACAAGGTTAGAGGTAGAATGGGTGGTACTATATCGTCACACACAAGGTTAGAGGTAGAATGGGTTGTACTACATCGTCACACACAATGTTAGAGGTACAATGGGTTGTCCTATATCGTCACACACAATGTTAGAGGTAGAATGGGTTGTACTATATCGTCACACACCATGTTAGAGGTACAATGGGTTCTACTACATCGTCACACACAATGTTAGAGGTACAATGGGTGGTACTATATCGTCACACACAATGTTAGAGGTACAATGGGTTGTACTATATCGTCACGCACAATGTTAGAGGTAGAATGGGTTCTTCTATATCGCCACACACCATGTTAGAGGTAGAATGGGTTCTTCTATATCGTCACACAACATGTTAGAGGTACAATGGGTTGTACTATATCGTCACACATGTACACAAGGTTAGAGGTAGAATGGGTTCTTCTATATCGCCACACATCATGTTAGAGGTAGAATGGGTTGTACTATATCGTCACACAACATGTTAGAGGTAGAATGGGTTCTTCTATATCGTCACACACCATGTTAGAGGTAGAATGGGTTCTTCTATATCGCCACACACCATGTTAGAGGTAGAATGAGTTGTACTATATCGTCACACACAATGTTAGAGGTAGAATGGGTTGTACTATATCGTCACACACAATGTAAGAGGTAGAATGGGTTCTTTTATATCGTCACACACCATGTTAGAGGTAGAATGGGTTGTACTATATCGTCACACACAATGTTAGAGGTAGAATGGGTTCTTCTATATCGCCACACACCATGTTAGAGGTAGAATGGGTTCTTCTATATCGTCACACAACATGTTAGAGGTACAATGGGTTGTACTATATCGTCACACACAAGGTTAGAGGTAGAATGGGTTCTTCTATATCGCCACACATCATGTTAGAGGTAGAATAGGTTGTACTATATCGTCACACAACATGTTAGAGGTAGAATGGGTTCTTCTATATCGTCACACACAAGGTTAGAGGTAGAATGGGTTCTTCTATATCGCCACACAACATGTTAGAGGTAGAATGGGTTGTACTATATCGTCACACACAATGTTAGAGGTAGAATGGGTTGTACTATATCGTCACACACAATGTAAGAGGTAGAATGGGTTGTACTATATCGTCACACACCATGTTAGAGGTAGAATGGGTTGTACTATACTGCCACACACAATGTTAGAGGTAGAATGGGTAGCTGTATATCGTCACACACAAGGTTAGAGGTAGAATGGGTGGTACTATATCGTCACACACAAGGTTAGAGGTAGAATGTGTGGTACTATATCGTCACACACAATGTTAGAGGTAGAATGGGTTGTACTATATCGTCACACACAAGGTTAGAGGTAGAATGAGTGGTACTATATCGTCACACACAATGTTAGAGATAGAATGGGTTGTACTAAATCGCCACACACCATGTTAGAGGTAGTATGGGTTGTACTATATCGTCACCCACAACGTTAGAGGTAGAATGGGTTGTACTCTATCGTCACACACAATGTTAGAGGTACAATGGGTTGTACTATATTGTCACACACAAGGTTAGAGGTAGAATGGGTTCTTCTATATCGCCACACATCATGTTAGAGGTAGAAAGGGTTGTACTATATCGTCACACACCATGTTAGAGGTAGAATGGGTTGTACTATATCGTCACACAACATGTTAGAGGTAGAATGGGTTCTTCTATATCGCCACACACCATGTTAGAGGTAGAATGGGTTCTTCTATATCGCCACACACCATGTTAGAGGTAGAATGGGTTGTACTATATCGTCACACACAATGTTAGAGGTAGAATGGGTTCTACTATATCGTCACACACAATGTAAGAGGTAGAATGTGTTGTACTATATCGTCACACACAATGTTAGAGGTAGAATGGGTTGTACTATACTGCCACACACCATGTTAGAGGTAGAGTGGGTTGTACTAAATCGCCACACACAATGTTAGAGGTAGAATGGGTCGTACTATATCGTCACACACAACGTTAGAGGTAGAATGGGTGGTACTATATCGTCACACAC